CATTGGGGGATTTGGGGGGGATTTGGGGGGGATTTGGGGGATCCTGGAGATCTTTGGGGAGGTCTGGGAGGAACTGCGTAGATCTGGGGACATTCCCGGAGGATTTGGGGTTTCCTGAGTGAATTTTTGGGAATTCCACAACATTTTGGCCTTTCCTGAGTGACTTTTTCCCGCTTTTACCCCATCCCGGGTGGGATTTACCCCATTCCCATCGGGATTTTACTCTTTCCAAACGCGATTTTTTTCAAAACCTCGCCCCGATTTCGCTCAATTTGGAGAATTTGGTTTTTCCCAGCCCTAAATCCCGTTTTTTTTTGGTTTTCCAGGCCATGGCTCCGCCGCGCTGCAGCCGCTGCGCGCGGCCGGCGGCGCTGCTGCGCTCGCGCTCGCTGCTGCCCTTCTGCCGCCGCTGCTTCGTGGGCGCCTTCGAGGCCGAGGTGCTGCAGGCGCTGCTGCAGCCGGGGCCCGGCTGCGCGCCCCCAGACTGGGGGGTTCCGGCCCAAAATCCCGGGGTTCAGACCCAAAATCCCGGGGTTCCGGCCCAAAATCCCGGGGTTCCGACCCAAAATCCCGGGGTTCCGGCCCAAAATATTCAAAATCCCGGGGTTCCGGCCCAAAATATTCAAAATCCCGGGGTTCTGACCCAAAATCCCGGGGTTCCGACCCAAAATAGTCAAAATCCAGGGGTTCTGACCCAAAATAGTCAAAATCCTGGGGTTCTGACCCAAAATCGCGGGGTTCCGGCCCAAAAGAGTCAAAATCCTGGAGTTCCGACCCAAAATCCCGGGGTTCCGACCCAAAATCCCGGGGTTCCGGCCCAAAATAGCCAAAATCCCGGGGTTCCGACCCAAAATCCCGGGGTTCCGGCCCAAAATCCCGGGGTTCCGACCCAAAATCCCGGGGTTCCGATCCAAAATAGTCAAAATCCTGGGGTTCAGACCCAAAATCCCGGGGTTCTGACCCAAAATAGCCAAAATCCCGGGGTTCCGGCCCAAAATATTCAAAATCCCGGGGTTCCGACCCAAAATCCCGGGGTTCCAACCCAAAATAGTCAAAATCCCGGGGTTCTGACCCAAAATCCCGGGGTTCCAGCCCAAAATCCCGGGGTTCCGGCCCAAAATCCCGGGGTTCCGGCCCAAAAGAGTCAAAATCCCGGGGTTTCGATCCAAAATAGTCAAAATCCTGGGGTTCCGACCCAAAATCCCGGGGTTCCGGCCCAAAATAGTCAAAATCCTGGGGTTCCGACCCAAAATCCCGGGGTTCTGACCCAAAATCCCAGGGTTCTGACCCAAAATAGCCAAAATCCCGGGGTTCCACCTCAAAATATTCAAAATTCTGGAGTTCTGACCCAAAATATTCAGAATCCTGGGGTTCTGCCCCAAAATATCCAAAATCCAGGGGTTCCACCCCAAGATTCTGGG